CAGCCCTGGGGGCCGCAGCAGGCATCGCCCCCCTCGGTCCAAGCCACCGGACGCCAAGGGCCAGGCAGGGGTCACAGCCAAACAGACAGATAAGAAAATACTTCTGATATTTCTCAGAAACAGCTTTTAGAAACCACAGTTTTTACAGCTCCCCATAGAAAAGATGGGTTTGGGCACAGGCTACGGCCCAGGGCTTCTGCTAGTAGAAACGCTTGTTCCGCTCCTGGCGTTTCTGGAAGACCACAGCTCCCACCACAGCGCAGACGATGATGCCCAGCAGCGCGCAGAGCAGGAGCAAGAACACCTTCCAGCCTGTCAGAGGCCCGCTTCGGAAATTCCCCGTTGGGTCATCCACATTGTCTGCAAGGATAAGAACAGCTACAGAGACCGACCCAACCTCGGCTCCTGCGGGGTCTCGCAGGGTGTCACAGCTCTGACGCCGTTCAACAGGCCTTTAAGAGTCCCAGTCCTCCACTGAAGGTTTCCAAAGCCCAGAGACTCACCTTTGGGTGATTTAAGGAGGCTGACACTGGGCTCAATCTTGGTCCAGTCAACGGTCTCATCTTCTAGAGGGTGTTCCACCATGAGCTGGAATAGCTTCATCGAGATAATGTCGTGATTGTCTGGGAAACAATCATCAGCACCAAACACTGTCAGAAGCTCCGAGAGATGTCCACGCGCTCAGAGCTCCCCTAGGACCGTGCTCTGCCAGGTCCAGGTCTCCTTCCCTCTCAAGCCACCCTCACACCCCAGGTATCAAACTGCAATTTGAGATGTTCCTTAGCTCTCAGATGCCTCCTTTCCCAGGCCACGTGTCCCTACCCAAGAGGTTTTCAAGAGACTGGTGAACAATTCAGGGAAAGGAAGCCATTGAAGCCATCCAATGCATCCACAGTGTTATAGTCCAAGCTCCAAATAGCATGTGTTCCTGTGAGCAAAGCCCCCTCTCACCAGACAAGTCTCCAGTGCCAGCAGAAGCACCAAAGAAGTAGCCAGTTGGCAGCTGCACCCCTGCAATGTCAATGCAGTTCTTCCATTCATTCTTGTCTTCCACGTCGGTCATCACCTGTAAAGACCAAGGGAGCGTCACACCAGGAACACGCGCTGTCATCCTGCCCACCTGCAACTCTCTTGGAGCTGGAGGTGCAGGAGAAGCAGGAAAACCATCTCCACGTCACCTACTGATACAGCAACACCCGCCCCTCAGCACTGCCTTGTCTAACATGCGAGAGAGACCCTGCAGAAGGTGTCACCACATCTCACCGTGAGACGACCTCGGGAGTACCGAATTGCCAGGAAAGTGTCGTGATTCTGGTTCCGAAGGTCGGCAGTGCACCCCGCTAGCTCTGTCCAGCGCCCATCCTTACTGTGGTCGTACGTCAGGGAGCCGTTGTTCACCATCGCAGAGATATAGGGGAACACACGCTGCAGGGAGGAGAGCACTACTGCTTTCAGTCTGCAGGACCCTTCGAGCTGCAGACCAAGAGCCACCTTCCCCTGCCTAGTCAGAAGCCTCAGCAAGAGGAGGATCTCAGCCAGGCATGGCAACAGAGCCACGGCTTTGCTGCACAGTCAGGCACAGAGGGCAGAACAATGAAATCAAGGCTTATTTTCTGCAGAAAGCTGCTTCTAAACTGAGTGAGAGCTTGTTCTAGCTAAAGCAGAGTAGCCTTTGCTGACTTGTATCAAGACTCGCCCTGAGCCCACACCATATGGCACGGCCAGGGCAACGAGACCGCCCCAAACTTAGAGAGTAAGCACCAGACCGGGTAAGAAGTGTAAGAACAGAGCACAGGACCCAGAATGGGCAGAAGTCTCACATAAGCAGCATAACCACACTCGGGGCTTCCCAGTCAGTAGATTACATACACCAGGAGAGGACAACTGGAGGCAAGAATTCACCTCCCAGTGAGCATCAAGACAACAGGGAGATGGGTCATTTCCAGATGCTTTATGACTTAAGTATCACGTTTTTGGTGCAATAGATCTCACTAGCACAGTTACATTTCTCACTGTGCTGCAACAAGATCCACAAACACAGAGCAGGACAGAAGAAAAGGACCACCAGTCCCCACTGGACTGACCTGTATTTCAGCCACAGGGAATTCTGGAGCAAAAAGCCAGCCCAGGAGTTTCTCTTTTAGAGATACCCAGGTCACAAACAGAGAATAAGGCCAGAAACAACATGGAATGAGCAACCAAAGCACAGAGAAGTTCAGGAAAACACGCTCAAGATTAATATACTCTTAGGCTGGTTTCTCTAACTTTACTTAATAGGTGGTGCATAGTTTACACCAGCCCCGTGCCACACTCTCACGCAGAGGGGGAAAGGCCTTAGAAACATTTGTGTAGTCAACAGTAGCAGAAGATGGAGCAAGGACCTTCTTGTCTCCGTTAATGCATGTGCAAACTCTTGCCTTTACCAGCTCCCATGACAGGAAGAGCAGCCCACTCTCATGTAAGGAAAGACTTTTCCTCGGTCCAGGTGTGAAGCACTTGGAGCACGAAGCCATGAGGAAACAACCTCCTCAACACTGAACAAGCTCCCCGAACTACTCACCTCTGTTGCTTCATCGTTGGGATACGTATCAAGGAAAATAGCCAGTCCGTGGAAGTTGTCCTTGCTGCCAAAGACAGGACCTGGAGCAGGGCAGAACATTGGAAACAGAAGGCTCTCAAACAGAATTTCTGCTCAGACTTCTATCGAAAAGAGCTGTAAGAGCTGTTTATTGCCAGGCAGATGACTGAGGGCGCCTGCTCCCGGGGCAGAAGGCACCATCCTGATCTAGTGAAACCAGGCAGAGGGGAGCTCAAACACCCTCCCTGGCAAGAAACCTTCCAGGGCAGGGGCAGCAATCTGGGCTGCCCCGGGGCACACATGAGTGCCAACAGGGCCTCAGCCCGGCCAGGCAGCCCCCCGGCTGCGCACCGTACCTGGCACCAGCCGCTCCTGCGTGTACCACAGCGCCAGGCCGTCCCCGTGCAGGTTCTTCTTGCCAGCTCCATGGATCTTGAAGTGGACGTGGAGCTCCCAGTCCTTGAGGAAGCAGGGCTGCGTGGAGAGACCGCCCAGCGGCGTCAGGCCAAGAGCCGGGAGAGGCGATGGGGCCGCTCCGGGCCCCCACCGGTCACCCCCCGGGCCCCCGCCCTCCCGCCGGTCTGCCCCCGGGCTCTCACCACGCGGTTCCAGATGGAGCCCTCCCGGCTGCGCTCGTCGGGCGTCAAGCGGACGTACTGGCTGGTGACCATGGTGCTGCCCTGGAAGTCCCACAGCGGCATCGCGGCGGAGCCCGCGCCTGCAAAGCGGCAGAGAGAGCGCGGCTCAGCCCGGGCCGCCGCGGGGTGTCCGCCCGTCCCGCCGGCCCGTCCCCACGCTCACCCTGATACGGCTTCATCAGCGAGTGCTCCCGCTTCAGGTGCTCGCTGTTGCCATCCGTGAGCTCGGCGGGTGCCGGGCGCGGCCCGGCCACCGCCAACAGCAGCGCCGCCGCCGCCAGCAGCCCGCCCGCACCCGCCGCCATCCTCCGCTTCCGCCTTCCGGCGCGCCGCTCCCGCCCTCAGCCCCGCCCGGGAACGGCAGCCCGCGCCGCCAATCAGAAGCCCCCACACCACCGCGTACACACCTCCGCGGGTAAACGTCACTCCTGCCCGCCTATGGCAGAGAAGGGGCGGAGCCAGAGAGGCACGCAGCTCCCGCCGTGCTTTGGGCGGGGCGGTTGGGAGGGAGGGGAGGAGCGGCAGAGCGCCTCCCCGCGTGCACTGCGCGGCGGCGGCGCGCAGCATGCCGGGAGCTGTAGTCCGCGCTCCCTCCTCGTGCCAGTCACGTGCGCGCGGGAACGTGCGCGGCTCGTGCCGCCCGCGGGACACGTGACCCGCTCCGGCGGCGCTGACTGACGCGGCGGTCCCCGGCAGCCTGTCGCCATGGCAACGCTACACAAGATGGCGCCAGGCGTTAGGGACGGGGCTCGGCCCGCCCGGGCGTCCCGGCCCCGGGAGCGGCCCCGGCCGGGGGCCCCGCAGGCCTCGCCGGGCCGCAGAGCGGCGGGGGGGGGAGCAGCGCTGTCCCAGCACCGCGGGAAGGACTGGCCGAGGCAGCGCAGAGGTCACAGGCAGCTTTATTGAGGGCCGCCTGCGGGCAGGCAGGGCTGCAGCCCAGGGCCTGGCACAGTGCAAGGCTCCCAGCCCCGCTGTGGCTTGTCTCCCACCCGTCCCCAGAGGCGCAGGCGCTCAGCCACGGAGCTGCATCTTCCAGTCCTCGGGATGGGCATCTTCGGCAGGGTGACAGAAGCCCCAGCTCGGGTGCATTTAGGACGATGTGCTTCCCAGGGGCTCTTGCAGAGTAGCCCCCTTGGTGGCACGCGCAGCGTGGCTGCAACCATGGCTGTCAGCAGGCAATGAAACACCTCCATTGGTGACTGCCCAGCCAGGTCCTCTCTGTGTCTTTGTGCTTGTTCCAGGTCCCGTGCACACGTGGGAGCTCCTCTGGCCAGCGAAAGATACTGAACTGAGGCTTTCCGAAGCCAGCTGCTGTGGCAGCACCAGTCACATCCTACGGGAGCGGAGAGGAATACACGCCATTTGGTTGGCTGTACGTGCCATGTCTGAGGGTGTAGCCAGTGGTGCCGTGGGGTGCCCAGTGTGCACTGGGCAGTGTGTGCGTTGCAGCAGCCTCTGCGGGGTGTGCCAGCAGTGCAGATGGACAAGTCCTGAGCAGGTTCTCATTCTGGAGGCGTGCAAGCCCTTGACACAGTGGGACATGTGCTTCCCTCCAACAGCACGGGGGCTGCAGGAGGGTTGGAGGGTATGAGGAGCCCGTGGAAGCCCAGGAGGCCCGGAGAAGGGAAGCCAACTGATAGTGAAAGACTGGGTGGGAAGCCCATCTGAGCATGGCAGCCTGAGGCTCAGGGCTCAGCTGAGCCTTTGGGGGCAGTCTAGGGACCAGGGGGGTTTGCCATGGCTTAGGGACCTGCAGCTCAGTCTTGTCTGGTACTTTGCAATTCTCACTTCTTCCTGTTCATGATCTGGCTGGAAATCCAGTTCATCCCATCCTGGAGGGAAGAGAGATATGTGAGCACAGCCCCAAGAGCATGGCAGGTTCTTGGGTCCTCTCCCACCTCTGCAGAGCCTGCAGACCCTCATCTCTACCTGCACTCCTTCCCCAGACAAGGCTGAGCAGGCCTGGATCTGCCATTCCCGGTCCCGGTAGGTGTGGAGGCTCAGCCCTTCTGCAATTTCAGCTGCAGGTGCTGCAGTCACTAGGTCCTGCTTGTTGGCAAACACCAGCAGTGGGACCCCCATGAGGGACTCGTCCTCAGTGAGGTCTGCCAGCTCCTGCCAAGAGAGAACCGTCTCCCAGGGCTGCTGCCGGCTGCTGCCCTCCTCCATGGAGCTGCTGGACTGCTTGCCTGAGCTGCCCAGGGCGGGCTGGGGCACCTCGGTCCCCCGAAGTGCCTCACTCCCCTCTCTCTGGTGCTCTTATTGCAACCAAAGAAGTTGTGAGGTGTTGACATCCCAAAGGAGAAACATGCGCCCCTGAAGCTCCATCTGCCCTGAAGAGAACGTGGGACTCGCACAGTACTACCTGAGGGCTGAAGCACTCCAGGCACCGAGAGCCTGGGACAAAGGGCAGCTACAGGAGGCTGCTGTCAGCCCTGTGCTGTCTGGCACACCCACGCTGCCGTCTGGTGCCAGTACAGCCGAGACTGGCACTCGGAGTCTCACCTTCCCCTCTCCGGCTTCATTCTCAGGGTTTGTAACTCTGAATTCGCTACTCGTAAACCTTTGCTTGGTCATATCGCTAACCTGGCACTGGGGAGGTGGCAGGAGTGCTGGTGACCAAGAGGTCGCTTTCACCAGGGGCAGAGTTACCCCTGTGCCGGGTACCCCTGGGGCATTGCACCTGGCTTGGGGGGAGCTGCTGGGCACAGATCTGCCATAGAGTGGGGTGGCTCTGTGTGCTGAGACTCTGATCAGGAGCCCTTCCCACATAGCTCTGGGGACAGCTTGGCCCCCACAGCAGCACTGCCCCTTGATAAAGAGCAGCCTCGCTCCCTGCTCCAGTCTTCAAAGAGCTCGTGCCAGATGGATCTGAGCCCCAGGACCCCACACCCACCCCCCACTGGACCCCTCATACCTGCCCTGTCTCCTCAAAACGCTTCTGGTCTGCGCTGTCAATAACATAAATCTGCCATGGGGACAAAACGGACAGTCAGCAGCTCCTCCTTGCCCAGCTGCACGGCCCACTGCCTTTTGCAGGGGCCACATGCCTCTGCTGGGGTACGAGGTACAGAGCCCCACGCAGAGGGCACGGGTCTCCATGCATGGAGCTGTGGGGGGCTGCAGGTGGCTGCCCCACTCACCAGCAGGTCTGTGCTGCCCAGATACTTCTTCCAGTACGGGCGGATGGAGCGCTGCCCCCCGATATCCCAGACGTTTAGCTTGAAGCCGTGCGAGTGGACGCTCTTTATGTTGAAGCCCTGCACGGGGGCACAAACCCCAGCATCACCCAAGGGAAGGGTAGGACCTGCCGCCCTCCCGCTGCCCTGACCCCCAGCAGCACCTACCTGGGTGGGGGTGATGGTGCTGACCTCCTCGGATGCCAGGCGTTTCAGCAGCGTGGTCTTCCCCGCGTTGTCCAGCCCCAGCAGGACAATGCGGAGCTCCTGCTCCGGGGAACCCTTCAGCCTCTGGATGACGGAGAGCAGCCCCTGGGGGCACAGGGTGCTGGGGGAGCCCTGCAGGGTGCCGGGTCACTGCAGAGCACCGTCATTTCGGAGAGGGGAGCTGGGCGCGCTGTTGGCCATGGGTACCCTGTGTCTATGGGCTGAGCTAGCGCCAGGGCTTGGCTCCCAAGGTGTCCAGGCTCAGGGTGGTCCCGCAGCAGATCTGCCCAGCCCCAATCCCCCCCCAAGGTGTGCTGTCCCTGCCCTGGGAGCCCTACCAGCTCCTGGGTGTGCTGGGGGGGACAAGCCCAGGGTATAGCCCTGGTCCTGCTCTGCCAGGCTGCTTGACACCGCAGCCAGGAGCTGGTGCCGGCACACCCACCCTGGTGCAGGCAGGATGTCACTGGATCCCACTTACCTTCTGCACATCACCCATGGTCTGGGAGTCGCTCTGCCCTGCAGCACACCTGGGGAGCTGCCCGGGGCTTGTCCCGGGGTCCCGCCAGCAGCTGCGTGTCTGGCAGGCACCCCATCCCTGGGAGAGGAAGAGGATTACGGGCTCCAGAATTAGCTGCTGTTTCTCCATTTACCCACAGCATTAAATAATGCCCTCAGCAAATCCCCCAGCCAGCTGTCACCCCGCCGTTGCCCACCCCCAGGGATAAGCCAGGTCCCGCCGGGCTGGGGCTCTGAGGCACAGGGTGTCCCCTCTCCCCACAGGGCCAGGCTCTGGCTCAGGGGTGGCAGCACAGAAGGAGGATGCGGAACCCAGGCACCACAGGCATCACCGCAGGCAGAGCATGGTGGTGGGATGGAACCGTGCAGCCGGTGTCTGATGCCGGGAGAGGCACTGCAGCCCCAGCCTCTGAAGGGGGATGCTGTGTGGAGGCAGGCCACAGGCACGGTTGTGTCCTGGTGTGCAGGGCTGGCACGGCTTCCCGTGCGAGGGGTGATGCCTCAGCACATCCCCGGTCCCCACATCCCAAGCAGGGCGAGGTGACACCAGCACCCACCAGCTGCCCCCTTGGGGCATGGCAGGAGCTAATGCTGAGGCACACCCAGCTGCAGCTGGTCAAGGCCACGTCAGCTCCCCGCTGCCATCGAGGGAAACCACTGGGCCCTGGAGCAACTTGAGGGCTGGGCTGTCAGCAGCCAGAGGTCGGGGATGGCACAGGACAGGGGTCTGGAGGGGCACAGGCACCTTCCCCAGCAGCCCACCCCAGCCCAGGTGGGGTGAGGGGCTTGTCCATTCGCCATTTGGATTAAATATATTCATTAAGCAATGTCTTTGATTCTTGCATGCCGCAGTTTGGTCCTCGGATCAGGTTTCCTAGCAGAGAGGTTATCCTTGTGGTGAGGACCGTGAGTCACGCACTCTTGGTGAGACATTTTTATTTATAACTCCTGTTGCAAAGCCAAGCCAAACAATACAGCTACGCTCCAACAAAGGGAAGGGGAGAAGCACAATCACCCCCCACCCCACTGCTGCTCCGTGCTGCAGCAGGGGGCAGAGGGGCAGCAGCAGGGGCCACCCTCTGCTCACCTCTGCCTGGAGACCCTGCCAGGGCTGCAGCTGTTAATGCCGCACTGCTTTTGTGCATGTTCACGGTGGGAACGCTTCATTTTTCTCTGCATAGATCTGCACCCAACTTAATGTTAGGGTTCTGCTTTTGATAGGTTAATCACCCACCTTATGTCCCAGTTATTAGCATTTCCATGAGTGGGTTGCCATGGTGCTCTGCGGTTTATCCTCTAACTGTTAGTTACTTATATTTCCTAACAAATACCCTAAAATATCCTCAACTGGTTTGTGGTTGCTGATCAACATGGAACCCCGACCTTAGGAGATGGGCAAAAGTGCTTAGGCATCAGTTTGGTGACTCCAAGCTGCACGTCCACCCCTCATCTCTGCCAGGCTCTGCCGGCATCTGCAGCGCAGGCAGCTCTCCCCAAATGTCGGCCACCAACAGCAGCAGCACCAGCATGGCCCTGGGGGCCACCCCCAGACCCACTGCTTGGCATGGATCTGGGAGGCAGCTGCGTGCCTGCCCGGGTGCGACCGGGACAAGTGGTACCAGGCTGGTGGCAGGGTGCATTGGGCTTGCTGATAATGCCCTGCCCCTGTACCCCCTTCCCTGGGGTGATGTGATGCCCAGGAAGAGCCCCCTTAGGCTACCCAGGCTGCTGGGAGTGGTGGCGATGGTGTGGTGACCCCGAGGCAGCACAGGTTGTGCTGGTGACAGGGACTGAGTGGGACAGGGACGGCGATGGGGATGGGGATGAGGATTGGGATGGGGATTGGGATGGGGATGGAGATTGGGATGGGGGGGTGGATGCGGATGGGAACAGGGGTGCAGATGGAGATGGGGTGACAGATGTGGGTGCAGATGGGGATGGGGATGGGGATTGGGATGGGGACTGGGATGGGGATGGGGAGGTGGATGCGGATGGGAACTGGAGTGCAGATGGGGATGAGGTGACGGATGGGGGTGCAGACGGAGACGGACGGGGACGGGGACGGGACTGGGGATTGGGATGGGGATTGGGAAGGGGATGGGGAGGTGGATGCGGATGG